CTTAAATTATATTGTTAATGATTTTATCATGTGTATTATTTGGACTGTACCACATAAGTTCACATTTACATGTTGGGAATAAACAGGAAAATGTCAGAGCAAGGTTTTTCCATGAAGGATTTGTTTGCGAGGCAAATGAACAGTCAAATCAATGCTCAAAGTGTAGCTCAGAAATCTGTTCAAGCTTACTCTGAAACAAGCCTTTGAGATACATCGATCTGTGTAAATGAAAAAGCTGCATTTAAAAGAAAGAACGAATAGAATAAGAAACAGATTTTTAGCAGTCTATGAGACAGAAGCATCCAAGAACAAACAAAATCCCATCTGATGTGGATCCATGTGATGTTTTCACTGCAAGTTTCATTAATCCTAAATAATCCTTTAATTGGACCAAAGGCATGGTCAGATTTAGCCAAACTAAACTTGGTGCTTTGGAGAGCCATTATTTATCTAGAGTCATCTGGTCAGTCTAGATGAAGTCGTCCGCAGCATCTATTCACCTCTAAACTCGTCTATTTGAATGGTAAATGCTGTGGGTGTGCTGCAAAACATCACAATCCAAACACAAGCACGGCTTAAAGGCTCCAGCACGAAAACATCAAAAACACATTGGAAAAAATAAATCACAGCAGGAAAAATGTAAATAGATAATCGAAAAATAAAAACCTGGACTTAAAGCTGGCAAACGCTTGGGATGTTTTATCATTCTGAGAAAGATGACATCATGTGAATACGATCTCCTGGTGATGATGATGATGATGATGGGATGGACCAGTCCAGAAGTACAGGTGGATGTCACGAACTGTAGACACACACACATACAGTATATATATAAGCTCTGAACATTCACCAACAAGCATCGTCTCAACGGCGTCTGGTAAGAGGTTTGTTTTATTTGTGCATTGTATGTCTGAGGTGGTTGACGACTTTAAAATTATGTACTTATTTAAAATTGGAACTATAAGAGAACCCTTATGGTTCAAAATTATAAAAAATAAAACAAAATTCAAAGCTTCCCTGGATTTAAAATGTTAATATTGGTTTTATTCCATTAAGGTCTAACATTTTGTACATATTTAAAAAAAACAATACAAACAATTTTTAAATAAACAATACAAACTCAAAATTTTAGAGGCAGTTTTTTTTAAATGTTTTTTTTTAAATAAAATGATTCTGTTCATCAAGGCGGCATTTATTAAATGTAAAATAATTGTTAAATATTTATTACAATTTTAAATAACTGCTTTCTTATTGTATGTAGTTTCAAATTAAATCATTACTCCAGTCATTGCTTTTATTACCATTAATAATAATAATATTATTATTATTATTATTATTATTAATAATAATAATAGTAATGATAATAGTAATTAATATTAGAGTGATTTCTGAAGGGTCGTGTGACTCAAGACTGGAGAAATGAAGCTAAAATTTCATCTTTAAAATCCCTCCAATAAATTATTCAATTAAATCATAAACTTTTGAAAAAAGTTATTTTACAGAGCAGTAACATTTCACAATTTTACAATTTGTTTTGTATTTTTGATTAAATAAACGCAACCTTGGTGAGCAGGAGAAGCTTATTTTAAAACATTTAAAAATCCTACTGACCCCAAACTTCAGTAGTATTTAGTAGTTTTTTATGTGTGTGTGTATATAATAGTGTGTGTGTGTGTGTGTGTGTATATATATATATATATATATATATACTCTTTTGAAGCGAAATTAATGAAATTTATGCAAAAAGAAATGGAATTGGAAGTACATTTGGAAGGATTGTCACTAGAAGTTTAGGGAAGAAAACAACAATTACATCTTCCTCAAAACACAAAATTATTAGCGCTGCATAATATTGGGAAAATCTGATATTGTGAAATTTTATTTTTCTGCGATAAATATTGCGATATGAATATAGTTGCACAACATAGTTTGAATATTTGACAGTTTTCTGGGAAGTCTGTTTGTATTCAGGTTTTTTGCATTGCGAAGTCTGTTTGTATTCAGGAAATTGAATGATTGCAATACAAAAAAATCTTTGATCAAGAATCTTGTTTTGTTTTCAACTTCAGAAGAAATAAGGCAAAATTAAGAGTTTTTCCTTAAAACAGTAGTCTGTAGACTATCAAAAAATAAATATAGCTTAAAGGGGCTAATAATTTTGACCTTAAAATGGTGTTTAAAAAATGAAAACTGCTTTTATTCTAGCCGAAATAAAACAAATAAGACTTTCTCCAGAAGGAAAAATATTATCAGACATACTGTGAAAATTTCCTGAATCTGTTAAACATCATTTAGGAAATATTTAAAAAAGAAAAAAATAATCAAAGGGGGGCGAATAATTTTGACTTCAACTGTATACAGTAATTAAATACAATCCTTTAGCTCCTGGTCAGCTATAATCCAGACTCAATATTGCGTCTCTTCCAACTATTGCAAATGCACACATTGTGATATCGATGCTGAAACAAAATATTATGCAGACCTTATAACTATGAATCATAAATTTAGAGTAACTGTTGTTACTGTATAAATGTCTAATTCTCCAAGGCACACTGTAAAAAAAAAAAAACAATTGCTGAGATAAGTTTCTTTGTTGAATCCAGTTTAATTTTCTAGTCATCCTAACTTACATCAATGAACCTGGCAAAAAAACATTTCGTTAAACTTTGTACAACTAAACATCAAAATAGTTGAAACCTGATTATGTTATTAATAAAAGTTTGACATATATTTTAAGCGCAGCTATTAATGTGTAAACTCCACCATTAAAAAAAAAAATCACTTAATATTTGATATTTAATCTCCAGATTTCTGAGTGGACATGAAGAGCATAACCCCGGTGAAGATGCTCTCTGCATGTGCTCTGATCCTGCTGGCGTTCAGTGTGACCGACGGACTCATCATGACTAAATGTGAGCTGAAGGCCAAACTGGACGCCGCTCAGTTCCAGCAGATCATGGCCAATGGACAGAAGATCCCTGTCAACAATCTCATCGCCAGGCGTGAGTTCTTATTTATTTTTTAAATGTGCAAACATTAAGCAGGATGACAGTGGCTCAGCGATTAGCACTGTGGCCTCACAGCAAGAAGGTTGCTAGTTCAAGTCCCAGCTGGGTCAGTAGGCATTTCTGTGTAGAGTTTGCATGTTCTCCCCGTGTTGGCGTGGGTTTCCTCCAGATGCTCCGATTTCCCTCACTGTCTAGACACATGCGCTATAGGGGAATTGACTTAATTGGTTGTAGTGTATGAGTGTGTGTGTGAATGTGAGTGAGTTTAGGTGTTTCCCAGTACTGGGTTGCAGCTGGAAGGGCATCTGCTGCATAAAACATAAGCTGGAATAGTTGGCGGTTCGTTCCGCTGTGCGACCCCTGATAATCTAAAAGTTATCTGCTCCCTGTTTATCATCACCTTCACCCTCTTTAACACCAGATTCTTCCATCTTCCCTCTCTGAGACAGTGGTCTGCATGGCCAACAGCACAGCCTTCAACACCAGCTCCGTCAAAGTGATCGCACTCAACAGTAAACAGAAGAGATCAGCTCCGAACCCAGCAAAACCTCCAGCTCAAGGCCCAGCACATGCTGTAGCTCAGAATACATCCAGAGATCCACCACACAATGCATCTGAAGCTCCAGCTCATGATTCTGAAGCTCCACCACACAATGCATCTAAAGATCCACATCACAATGCATCTAATGCTCAACCTCATAATGCATCTAAAGCTCCACCTCGTGCACCAGCATCCAAAGCTCCACCTCGTGCACCAGCATCCAAAGCTTCACCTCGTGCACCAGCATCCAAAGCTCCACCTCGTGCACCAGCATCCAAAGCTCCACCTCGTGCACCAGCATCCAAAGCTCCACCTCGTGCACCAGAATCCAAAGCTCCACCTCGTGCACCAGCATCCAAAGCTCCACCTCAGGGTGCGCATAAGGCTGTAATTCACGATGCATCCAAAGCTCCACCATCTCGAGTTCCACCTCAAGTTCCAACAGGACGAAACCCGGAAGGCCCCACCAAAGCTCCCCATAGCTACGGCAATGAGACGCAGTATCCACAGCCCAAAGCTATGGAGCGTCTCTATGGAGTGTTTCAGCTCAGTGATCAGCTGGCCTGCGTCTCCGGCATGGTGCCATCACTCAACATCTGCAACATGAACTGCAACGGTGAGTTTGAGAGATAAAAAGGCACATCAAATATCATTTATAAAATGCGCATTTATTGTAGCACACTTCATTTTGTCATCAGCAGAGTACATGCATACTGTGTGCACAATGCCTAAGGGTGCTCTCACACCGGCCTTATTTGGTTCGATTGAATCGCACTAGAGTTCATTTTCCCTTTTGGTGCGGTTCGTTTGGGCAGGTGAGAATGCAGCAATCGTACTCGAGCGCACACCAAATAAGCGTACCGAGACCTGCTTGAAGAGGTGGTCTCGGTACGCTTTCAAACAAACCCTGGAGCGGTTTGTTTGTGGTGAGAATAGGATCCGTACAAAAACAGGTCCAACCGCAAAAGTACTGCGCCTTTTGGACTAATCCAGCTGCCGTAGGCCGATGCGCTGTGCATTATGGGATATGGAGAAAAAATATTTGTTGACAGCGCTTTACCAACAGAGAGAGAGAGAGAGAGGAGAAAACGTTACCTGATGGATTGTTGGTAATATTTCCGCAAAATGACCATGTGGCAGTTTAGCTAAATTAATTCACGTCTCCTCCTGAAGTGACGAGCGATGCATTAAAACACTGTTGTCCAGCCGCAGCCGCGCTTCATTCTCGAAATGTAAAGTTTGTCAAGCTCCTCTTCTTCGCGCGCCGGCTGAAGACTCACCTCCGTGTGGAGGGCTTTCCCGCCGCAACCAGGTTTTCCGCTTAGCTTCGTGACGGGGCGAGAATGCGGTGAAATCCGAAAACACATTCAAAAAATCGGACAAGGGCTTTTGCTTTTCTTTTCTGGACAGCTTTTGTAAATTGTCGCTTGGGTTTAGGGAAGGAGGAAGAGGAGAGTTTTCTGGGTCGGCCGATTGGCTGGCCGCCCAGTCGATCGTTCAGTCATTCAGTCAGTCAGTCGGTCGCTCGACAGCAGCCTCCGGCAGCTTTTAACGCGAGAACAGCGCGGGCACAAACGGCGCGTGCTCCCAAGAGGCATTCGAGACGAGAAAAAGTGCGCATAGCGGCCTCTCGCTGATTCACGAAAAAAAAAACTGCACAAATACGTACCTCCAGGAATGTATTTCGCGGTCTCCAGAAACATCCGCGGGGCTACGTTTCTACAATGAGCCTGGGTTAAATATAGCACATATGAGATAAAGGATGTCTGTACATAATAACCGGCTATGATCCATAACTGAATCAATACCGAATTGTCCTCATCTGCATCGCGGTGGAGCGAAGAAACAATTAATTTTGACACCCCTAGTGGATAGGGTGGGGGAATCACAGTCGCAACTATTCTGTCGTCAAGGTCGCCTCTATAGACATGCCGGCTTTTCAATTACCAATCAATCAACATTATCGCCACCCACCACCCCTCTTCACTGATTGACTGATTGACACCCTCCCCTCCCCTTCACTTGACGATGGCCAACCACATCACCTCAACTTACGGATTGTCCCTTGCCACCCCCCAACCCTTCATCTTAACATTCGCCACCATTCTAGACCCCCGTCCCCGCCGCAATTCATTTACTGATCGCTAAAGTGTTCTGAGGTTTAATATCTGTCTAAGGCAAAATTACGTTTCCAGTCCGCCCCTGTCTCACATAGTGCAGTTTCGTCAGAGTTCACCAAGTTTAAACTTTGAAATGCAGCAACATGTGAAATATGTGGCAGAAGCTTGCGTTCCGGTCTGTCTCAGTTGCATGTGTATGAATGAAAGTCTATTGTCATCCCAATCGTGAAATAGCCGTCAAAGCTCATTTGCAAAACGATTCCCTGTTTCAAAGTTTTCAAAACATGCTAGGGACACCTGCTGGTCAACCCATGTAAATGCAACAAAAATTGAAAATCATGCATTAAAAATGGCCTTTTACAATAAAATATATCACTAAGCACGTTTTGAATTATATATTCCTTTTTATTTTTGCACAAAAGCTTTGCTTGATGATGACCTCACCAATGACATCGCCTGCTTGAAGACCCTGATGAACAGCATGTAAGTATACACAAAGGAGTGTATTAAATTAAATCAAGATTTGTTCCTCTATGCTACATTGGTATGGTACACACAAATTTACAATTTGATAGCAAAATAATATTAAGAAATAATTATAACATACTTAATTTCTTAACAGGAATGCCAAAGTCAATCCTACCAGCCTTAAGATGTAAGTGGAAAATGAAATTATTTGAATGACCTTTAATATAAAATTAAACAATAATATTCAATGAATTCAGGTTCACACGAGTGTTTTCTGTGTTCCAGTGCGAATATGCTGTTGGCGAAGGAGTGTCGCTCTGTCGTTCCATCCAAGATATTCGCAAACTGTGCTTAAAACAGACGATCAGACTGACTTTGGCTGAATTAATCAGAAACACAGCAGTCTGATGTTTTCATTGGCCTTTGACTGAATGCTAATGAGGTCATTATGATGGTGGCGGGAACTTTAAACAACTATTAATAGGGGTAGTTTGTACATGCTTTAGTTTGATGCTGTTATACTGTTTCAGTAGTAATATTGTAACTGATACCGTTTTAAACTTCTGTATGCCACTTGGATTTTTAAAGATCAGCACTTTATTATACGATGCAATGAAAACTGGAGCACTCAGTGTTGTCATTTTCTTATTATATTAAAGCAAAAAGGTTAAAAAAATGTCATACATTCATGATGAAGCTGATTTAAGGATTGTTTAAAGGGGCTATATCAAAATTTGTATGTATTCATGGCTTTTTATTGGAATTTTAAACATATACATAAAGGAAAATGGGGTAAAATTAAGGTAAGATTTCGTTATGATAAGGAGACATGAGGCAAACATACAGCAAAAGCATTTACCAATTTCAGGATGTTTCCTTTCAATTTAAGTTGATAATGAATTATGACAAAGTGGTTTAAAGACATGACTTCAAAGTGACGATGCAAAAATCAAACGACTAATCTTTAAACTTAAAACATGACGTGAAACTACAACATGAACCTGAAACATGACATTCAGCAAACTGCAGGTTACACATAGCAAAGCTAGACCAGGAAAGAAATAAAACATGAGGGGTTTGTTTAAAAAACAAATGGAGATCACATGACAAGAAACCACCAATGAGAAATGAGACACATAATTAAGGACAACATGGCAAGAAACAGGAAGCACCGAACTAAACTACAAAACAAAGGAAGAAGGTGCTAAAGATAAATTAATCGACATTAATCCAAACCACGAGAAATTTCAAAGACAGTTTACTTCTTTTAAAACTAATTCAAGAGTTCACACTCAGCTCATGTTTTTTTAAAAGCTTGTTTGGCGTGCTGTTACGGGAGAGAGCCCTGAGCTCAACGGATCCTCGAGTCCAGGGCTTCCTCTCTTAGTGGGGCGAGGGGAGATTGAGCTCAGGTGGAAAACACGCAAACTCCGCACAAAAACACCAGATGGTCCAGCAAGGAGCTGGAGCCATTGGTATTCTTGCTGTGAGGCAATAGTGCTAGTCACTGGGCCACCGTGCCACCCATTCTGGATAAAGGTGGAAGAAGGGGAGGAGGGGGTTTCTTCCAGACGAAGATAGTTGTAGAAAGGAAATGAGGGTATATATAGAAACTGGTATATATAGAAACTTAGGATCCTTTGATTGGAGGATTGTGGCTAATAGGGCTAATATGGGCCAGCTGGGTTAATTAGTTTAATATTAAACTTCACTTAAAATACATTATTTATTTAAGTAAATACTGGGTGTCAACTTACACATTCAATGTTTTTTCACTACACTTTTAGACGCACTCGCAAACTTCCCTTCCCTTGTTCCCTATGGGGAATCCTTCATAAACACTTCAGTGAGAGAAGTGAACTGAGGGAAGTTTACACTAACATACCCCTTGATTTTGACCCAAATCAGAATTTTCCAACAGGCTATACTAGAATAATAAATGCAAAAAGCACCCAAATCTGTTATCTACAAAACTGTCTTAGACTTATAAATGTTTTATTCCCCCTCCATTTGTGCTTTTGGTTCACCTTTAATTAAAATATCAACGGTATTGTGATAATCAAGTCTGAATTTGAAGAGTTCAGATGCAAAAAGCGGCTAAAAATGAACATTTCTTCTAAAATGAGCGTTTTTTTCTCAGGCTGTCATGTGTATGGCAATCAGGGCTTGACGTTAACACCCACCAGCCTCCCAAATGCTGGTTTTCAGCTGTTGCAGGTTAGACAGACACCCCCACTTTGGCTGGTTGAAAATAATTTTTAAATAGCCAGAGCTGCCGCGTCACTAAAGATTAGAATTTTATCTGGGACCCTTAGCCTGGACAAACTACTGTGTATAGTTTTAGATACATGAGAGTAATCTTAATATATGTCAGTTGTTTTTAAGAACATTTTTGTTGAATAAAAAGTGCATGTACACAGCTATATTTAGCTTGTTTTGACATATCTTTTTTTTATTATTTTGTGGCAGGGAAATAATTAGTTTAGTGTCGCCAGAAAAAGAAATAGTAAATCCTTAGTGTTGAGCCCTTAAAAAGTCATGTGAAATAAAAAAAGCAGGCATGTGGACATAACACATAATTAAAATCAAGTAATTTGAGCATGCCAAGTCAAATCTATACATTTTAAATATCTTTTCCCAACAACAAAAGTGTGGCTAGTGGAAATGGCGAGTAACGTTGGAAAACTACTAGCCACAGTGGCTGGTGATCAAAAATGTTAATGTCAAGCCCTGATGGCAATGAATATGTTGTTTTAACTGCCTTAAAAGTGAAATAAATGAATGTAAACATAAGAGACTTACAAAAATGTTTATTTTAGAAGATAATTGACAATGACATTTAGAGGTTTTTGCATCTGAACTCTTCATTTGTTTTGTTTTTTCTCAATAATGCATAAATATTGCGTAAATATTTAACAGAAACGAACTACAGTGCTAACAAGTCCTTAAAGGTACATATTAATATCCAAAAAGTACAAATGTGTACCTCATAGTACTTTAAAAGGTAAAAAAGTGAACCTTAAAAGGTACAAAAGGGTACCCAAAAGGTACTAATGTCCACCTGTATGGTACAAAAGTTTACCTTTTAAAAAAAGGTACTGGCCCAGTGACAGAATTTGTACCTTTATTTCTGAGAGTGACATTGCAGAAATCAGAGTCTATTTGGAACTGCTTTTAATGTATAATTCTTAATGAGAGAATTAAATTAGGTTTGAAAATAATTCTCGACTATAACTGCTGAGTTTCAGGTGTTTAAATGACAGTGCCATGCCCGAAAAGTACTTTTTCCACAGAAGCATTAAGTCTTTACAAGAAACTGTCAACAGATCCACCCAAATAAACGACAGTGGGGATTTAAAGCTTTAAAGAGTGACTTTTGACCTCTATTATTATACTGTACTGTATGTCTGCTGCAGTCGTGATATCCTTGTCATTTCAGTTACTATAAAAATAAAAATATTTGCATACACACAAGCTTAAACGATTTAAAAGATTGTGAATTTCTACTGAATGTTTTCAGCCTCATGTAGTTTGGGTGGAAGAAAAGCTTGGGAGGAACCAAAACTCACCAGGTCGTAATTTTCTGGACAAAATGAGGACACACACAAAAAAACGATTAATCTTAGTGTTAATTGTGAGGTGAATCAGCAGCACGGGTGGAGCTGCAGGTGGAGGCGACTGGAACATATAAAAGTCAGACAATAAAGACTGAGGAACATCTGAAGACTTTCACTCATCTGCTTCTCCGACAGCTGGTAAGATTTATTTTGCAACATTTTTGGGAAGAATTTCCCCGCCTAAATATATTAAATATTATAAGTTTAATATTATAAATATATCATTTACATTATTTTTATATATTATAAATTTATTGGGATCATTCACATATTTTTGGAAAAAGCCTCTAATGCTCACCCGGGATGCATTTGTTCGATCAAACATATCATTTAAAGAGTTCACACTTAGCTAATGATTATAAGCAAGTTTGGCATGCTGTGCCGGGAGAGAGCCCTGAGCCCAAAAGCTCCTTGAGCTCTGGGCTCCCTCCCGTTTGCAGGGCGAGAGGGGAGCTTTGAGCTCAGGTAGATCTCGACAACTCCCCCCTTGATAAGAGCTGATGACTAAAATAATTGCTATGCAGAGATATGATGCAGGATGAGAGTTTGACTGAAGTGCTAGATTTAGATTGATCAGTTCACTTGTTGTGCATGTTTTTAGAATTTGGGAGAAAACCGGAGAACCCGGGCAAAACCCACGCGAGCATGGGAAGAACAAACTACGCACAGAAACGACCACCAGCCTGTTAAAACTGGTGACGTTCTTGATGTGAGGCAACAGTGCTAACCACAGGGCCACCGTGCCGCCCTATGAAGGGAAAGGTGGTGAAGTAGGGATGGAAGGGGGGATTCTTCAAATCGAAGATGACTGTAGTGAGAAACTCTGGCTCCTTATAGTGGGTTAGGACTGGCCTGATTGGTGGTTCATACATAGCTAATGCAGTACCAGCCGTGTTAAATCATAATCACATGATCCTCTCGAAATTAGTTTATAAATAAACTTTACTTAAAATAACAGTTTTAAATAAATAAATATTGCTAGTAACAACTATCAAGAACGAATCGTTCTGTTTAACCAGTCCTTATAAGTGAACTGTTCGAACCAGTTCACCAAATTGAACTAATTCGTTTGAAACATTTTAAGTTTTTACTGCAAATGTCACATCTATGACGCTGGAATTGCTCATTACTCAAACACACACACACACACAGCTAACCTAATAAATGCATCTTCAGTTCTCCATCAGATCAGAAAATGAAGAGCGCTCTCTCAGTGAAGATGCTGTGTGCGCTTGCTCTGCTTCTGCTGGTGTTCAGAGCGACTGAAGCACGGATCGTGAGTAAATGTGAGCTGAAGGAGAGGCTGGAAGCGGCTCAGATCAAGGTCATTAGAGCCATGGGGGACAAAATGACTGTGGGGGAGCTCATCTCTAGACGTGAGTTTACTTCCTTCTGGATTCAAATTCAGGATGTCATAGGATTAACATTTTCTTGTGATTAATTGCTGAAGCTTTTATTACAGTAGTGTTATGATACTGAGGTAAGCTGCAAAAAAGCAACAGGTATAATAACAAAAACTACTGGTTGTAGTGAATATTGATGTTCGAAGTTAACAAATGTTTCACTGTTACTTGCAAAAGGATTATAATGTACAACATGTGACGGTCTAAATAAGGTCTCATTAGTAAACGTAAGATAATGGATTCAAACCAACAGTGTGAAACAGACAGATTTAATAGTTTCTATTTAATAGTTTATAAACTATATTTATGTTTATAATATAGCAGAATATTATTAGCTATTAACTCTGTTTAATAACATAAATACAACTTGTATTCAGATTATGACTACAGTTTTGATGTGTTTTTAGGCATTAGCTAAGAAATGAACATCTGCTAAGATTAATAAAAGTGTTTATAGTATTCATCGTGAGTTATTAAACTCATAATGAAAACTACAAATGCTTATACTAATCTTCGCTAATGTTCATTTGTTCATATTAAGCTCATTGGAAATATGTTCCCAGTGGTGTCAGGATTCTGCCACTTCGGTCTTGTTAGTTCTTGTTTTGGTGGCCAGACACTAGTCCTGTCTTGTCTTGTGTGTTGTGCTCAGCTACAGTTTTCTCGGGTCGAGCACTCTTATCTTGTTCTTGTCTGTCTTTATCTTTTGTAAGAGCAATACCGTTTACTATTGGAGCCTTATTCCACATGTATTATCGAACAATAATATCGTAATTCGACTTCTCATCAATTAGAAATGATAAGACAGGAGGTTTTGAATATCAGAAAATAGACTTTATTCTCCCTAATAAAGCAGAGAAAGAGCAGAGCAGACCCCAGAGCATTCTCCTTCTGCTCCTTCTAAAGTCTCTGTGTTTTTTACAATCTTTATACAGGTTATTTGACACACCCCTAGGTGTCTCATTTGAACTTTTAACCATTTTAGGATAGATTTTTACTCTAGGTGGCCCTGTTATTCTTGGCTCTCAGCCCACTAGCTCATGTCAACAGAGATGTTACAGGTCTATGTCAGCAAAGTATAGATGCAACTTATGCAAAGGAACTAAGTGTTTACATACATTGTCATGATAGCATAATCACTTGATAATGCGTTACTCATTCTAACTTCTGACACATATAGCTTCATACAAGTATTTAACATAAATGATCAGTGCTTTATATATTCAGTTATTCTACACAATCAGTCACTCAGCCTTCTCCTAGTGTTGCTCCTGTGCAGGCATACTCATCTTACACAGACATATCACTGTATTTTTAACAAACGCTGGCATGTTTGCTGCAAACACTCCACACATTTTGAGAAGAGAAAATTAACTGCTTTACACTTAGAAAATACTTCACACTGAGAGAATAGAAATCTTCTTCAATAACCCTACAAATAGCGACAGAATTGTTCAAATCAATATTTCAGCTTAATAGGCCAGATTATTAAGCAAATTAACCAATTAAATCTTCAAGCATTCAGTGATGTTATGAACACCACTGCAAATATAATGTGATCATTCATGAAAAACACTTTAAAATGTTGTTTAAACAATAAATATTGAGGTATTTTGATGTGCATGTTCATGATCACGATTGTATTACTAAAAAACTACATATGTGTCTAGTACAGATTAATGGTCAATCCATCTGTTTTTTCTTGTTCTCCTTCATTCTGATGCAGTTGTCTGCAAAGCCAGTGGCACGGGCTTCAACACCAGCTTGGTTGAAACCATCATCGCCAACTCGAACCCTTTGAATATCTTCTCCACCCGCCGTCTAGTCTGGCGTCTGTATGGCTTGTTTCAGCTCAGTGATCAGTGGGCCTGTGATTCAGGCTTGACACCGTCGCTCAATGTCTGCAACATCAGCTGCTCTGGTGAGATCCCGTATTAAAATGATCAACTCTAGTTAAACGTAGTTGAATGAGGTTTTGATTTTTTTTTTCTCTTTTCTTCAAAAGACTTAATCGATGATGACGTCACCGATGACATCGCCTGCTTGAAGACCGTGATCAACAGCATGTAAGAAAACACACTAAGTTTGAAATAAGGCTGTGTGATATTTAGAATTGACAGTAATATTTTTAGAAATTGTCGTTTTGGTGAGTTTGTCACTCACTTTGCCAGAAAAAAAGTGAACAAAAACCCATCTGGAGAGTTCAAAAGCATTAATGTTGTGGGAAAGCCTTTTAGAATGCATTTATACAGCATATTATTTAAGTTAAGATAGAAAAACGTATCCTTGTATTGGGTTGTTTTTATTATATTTGTAACATATATTTAAGTTACATCACACAAGCAAGATTGATTTCATGGATGGGGCAACCATTACTGCATCCAAAATGGTGAAAAGCCTTGGAGTAACGATTGATGACCAACTAAACTTCTCTGACCACATTTCTAGAACTGCTCGATCGTGCAGATTCGCACTCTATAACATCAGAAAGATCAGACCCTTCTTATCTGAACATGCAGCTCAACTCCTTGTTCAAGCTCTTGTTCTCTCCAAACTGAATTACTGCAACTCTCTACTAGCGGGGCTTCCAGCTAACTCTTTCAAGCCTCTTCAGCTGCTCCAGAACGCAGCAGCACGAGTGGTCTTCAATGAACCTAAAAGAGCACATGTCACTCCACTACTCATCCGTTTGCACTGGCTGCCAGTTGCTGCTCGCATCAAATTCAAAGCTCTGATTGCTGGCTGCCTCCCTTCTTATCTGCTCTCACTTCTGCAGATTTATGTGCCCTCCAGAAACTTACGTTCTGTGAATGAACGTCGCCTCGTGGTTCCATCCCAAAGAGGGAAGAAATAATAATACTAATACTTTCCTTCTTAGACTTTACAGACCTGAAACTTGCCTACAGCACTTATTTATTGTTGCTCTTATAGTTGTGTAAATTGCTTCCTTGTCCTCATTTGTAAGTCGCTTTGGATAAAAGCGTCTGCTAAATGACTAAATGTAAATGATTTAACAAGAAATTATTATTTGAGCTAAATTGTAGCTCAAATATTTTTTCTTGTTTCGTCAATAAAAATAATTTGTAAAAAAAGCCAAAAACGTTTTTAAGTAAATGAAGAAGGAATCAATTAGTCATTAGCTGCGTCCCAAATGGAACACTATGCACTCTTGCACTATGTACTTATGCACTTACACATTCAACAGGATAGTATATGTATGTAGTGTCGTCCCAAATGGCGCACTAATGTTTTTTTACTAAACGGAAATTCAAACCGTTTCTCTAATGACGTTTGACGGTTCCCAAATCAGTGAAATAAATGAGCAAACGATCAGATAATACCTGCCGTGAGTATAACCACATTCACTATCGGGAGGCGCTATAATCACTCTCGTAGGAGAATTTTGCTATCACCATCCAAAATAAATAAAGTTATCCAACATGTGCGGCCGATAGCTTCGCCTATTCTGCAATGTGAGCAAAACTGCGATCGTTGAGTGCGTGAAGTGTCCAACATTACACACTTCGTTTTACCGGCTGAATGAGTGCATCATCCGAGTAATTAAAGTGCTCTTATTATTTTTAGAGTTTTCAGTGTGAACACACTACTTACACTATTTATACTACAAAATGGCGTAGAATGCTGCACAAGTATGCGATTTGGGACACAGCTATTGATTAATTTAATCTGCTTTGAAAGCTTTTTGAATGAAGGATTCAGTGAATCACTCATTAAGACAATGTGTTGTCTCCACCTACTGGCAGTTAGTATCATATTAATTATATATCTATGAGGGAATACCTGGCAAGATCTGCACAAAAGCATAAAAACACAATATTGTTTTACTATTATTTATAATAATGATATAAAATATTAAGATAATTTCTTAATCCAGTTTTGGCACAATTTTTTACTCTGCAACTGCTAGGTTTGAGAAAAAGTGAAATTTTAAAGAGCATTTAGAATTGTTTTTTTTTTTTGTAAAACCCATTTACGAAAATCTTGGCTGGCAAGAGCGCATGGAAAAGGAATGTAAAATCACCAAGGTGATAAAACTATATAGTTTATAATAAAATATGCAGAGTTTACCAAAGTAATTAAATAAATGACTGTATTACATGCCATCTGTCTTCACAGCAAACCTCGACCCAAACAGAAGCCCAATGAAATAACTCTTCCTATTACAACGTAAGTTCAAATTTATTATTTTTATTGTCTTAATGTTTGTTATTTTTCTGTTCAGAAGAGAAACCTGTACACTGTGCCATGTATTGATGTATGTGTCTTTTTGGCATTAAATTGACAGAATAGAAAATTAAGTAAATAAATAAATAAAAAAAACAAATAATAATTAGTTTCATTTCAAGTAGGAATTCTATACACAGTTAAAGAATTATTAGTCCCCTTTAATTTTTTTTCTTTTTTAAATATTTTGCAAATTATGTTTAACAGAGCAAAAGAACTTTCACAGTATGTCTAATAATATTTTTTCTTCTGGAGAAAGTCTGATTTGTTTTATTTCGGCTAGAATAAAAGAGGTTTTTAAATTTATTAAATTTTTTTTAATTTTATGGTCAAAATTATTAGCCCCTTTAGGCAACATATTTTTTCGATAGTAAAATAATTAATTAATTAATTAATTAATAATTAATTACCCTAACCTGCCTAGTTAACCTAATTAAGCCTTTAAATGTCACTTTAAGCTAAATACTAGTATCTTAAAAATATCTAGTATGATATTTTTTACTGTCATCATGGTAAAGATAAAATAAATCAGTTATTAGAAATCTGCTATTTAAGCTATTATGTTTAGAAATGTGTTGAGAAATTATTCTCTCTGTTAAACAGAAACTGGGGATAAAAATAAATTGGGGGCTTATAATTCTGACTTGATCTGTTTATATCAATAAAGAATGAATATGGATCTTCTATTTTACAGATTGAGCACTATATTGATGAGGGCGTGTCACTTCATTGTTGCCTCTGAGTATTTCTCTGAGTGTCTGACTCCAACATCACCGGTGATCACAACATCGATGATAAATGCAACATTACCAGTGACCACAACATCACCACAGACCGCAACATCACTTATGAATGCAACACTGCAAGGGAATGGAACAACAGCATGATTAACCCTGACACTACAGAATCGACATGCTATCTTACTACAAATACATAACACCGCATCTGATTGCCGGATTATTACTGTTGCTTTAAGAACACAATATTCCAATAATTCCATGGCAACAGCCTGCTATCTCTGTCACTTTTGAAAGCACATTAATTCATTGTTCTCATGGCAACAGCGTTTAATTTGTTACTTTAAAAACACAACATTCCAATGATTTCATGGCAACCGCCTTCGATTTCAGTCACTTCATTGTTCTCGTTATAACAACACTCATGCTACTTTTAAAAATGTAACATTCCATTTGATTTGATTTGATTTAATTTATTTATTTTCGATCAAAAATATCATACATAAAATATCATCAACAAAAAATACATTTCAACATGGTCGAAAATGGAGTGTTATGAAGCACAAGCTTATTATTTTCCCACCCCATTACCACATACTTCATTCGTCTATTACTTAAACTTATTTCTTCTTTTACACATCTGTTTTTTTACATGATGCATATTTTATCCTTTTGGCATCTTTGACATATTATATGTTTAAATCCATTTGTATCTTTACATTTTGTAACAGATCCAAAGAAAAAAAAAAAACATAATCCTGCAAATAGCCATTAATTAAAAAGTTTCATTATACCTTTTTTATTTTATCCTTTTTCAATCACATTCATCATTACATTCCTTTAATAATATATATTTATACAACTTTTTAAATTGATTATTATGCTGACATTGTTTGAGAGTCAGACTTTTCCATAAATTCACACCACAGACAGACAGACACAATTTTTTTAAACTTGTCCTTGTTTTCAACCTCCTAAAATGTAGTTCTTCTCTCAGAATATATCCCCCTTGTCTTTCTTCAAAAACTTTTGTATACATTTTGGATGTAATGTGTTCCTAGCTTTAAACATAAACTGCTCTGTTTTAAATGTAACCAAATCATTGAACAGCATGGCAACAGCGTTTAATAGGGTATATGCCGAGCTAGTGCTGTTCCCATGCTGATACACTTCCGGTGAGCTGTTATTGTGAACTTTTTACCATTTTATACGGTTCCTTATACAGCATCGATGTTGTAATGTCATTAAAATACATTCAGTTAAATAAACTTTAGCCTTTATTTAGTTGCTCAAGCGTAAAACGAGACAAAAAGCTGTTTACTCGCACGCGCCCGTCAGAATCGGCAGGCTAATGCAGAATCTCCATTGAATATAATGGGGTAAAATAAATGCTCATATTATAAAGACATGGCAGGGGAAATGTAACTGAATGCAGTGCTTCTTGTACAATCTGAGACCCACTTTAAATCGGATATCACTCAGCTAGTGGAGATCGCTGATTTTTAAAAAAAACAGACCTTAAACCCACCGCATTTTGCATTGGCATTCAATTCGCCGGAAGCGTTTAACCCAGGTTACAGGCAAATTAAAAGTCCTATTAGCATGCTTTGGCATATACCCCATTACTTTGAAAACACAACATTCCAACGATTCCAATGCAACAGCCTTTGCTTTCTGTCACTGTTAAAAGCACAACATTCCATGGTTCTCATGGTAACAGTGTTTATTTTGTTACATTAAAAATATAACATGCCATTGTTTCCATGGCAACAGCCTTTAATTTCTGTCACTTTAAGAACGCAATCTTCTGATTTGTTTCTGATTGTTTCTTTTGGATGGTGATGGGGTCAATATGATGGTGGTGGGACCTGTGTGAGTTTAATAAACACATAAAGCCTCTGAATAAAGGGTGCAGGTGCTTTAATAAACTTTTATTTATTTGACTTGTGTATTATTTGAATTTTATTGCTTTAATATTGCTAATATTTAGAGCCATTTTTAAGGGGAGAAATCAACATTCCCTTCTAAGGTATTGAGGTCACTGTTCTATGAAAATATCCTTTAAAGGAAACCTATTGACAAATACCACTTTTATAAGGGGTTTAACGCAGTTGTGTAGTGCAGATATAGCCAGCCTATAAATGTTACAAATTAATCAATATTATTTTTAAAATCACACTTGACAAAAACAGAACTGCAGAAACACTTTGATTGACATTCTCCCTTTGAACGTGTCATCAGAGAGGGGGAAAGCCCCGCCCCATTAATGACAATCTCTCCCTCATTAGCATAAACTGTCCTAAGTGAGAAGCAGACGTCTGCCATTAGAGTTTAATACCGTACGCAATGAAGATTATGTCAGCAACTAAAAGCATTGTAAATGAGGAGTTTTAGGATGTACAAATGATGATATCCGTGTTTGTGACTCCGCCCTCTTTTGAAAAAGCACAGTCTTATGGGGTGACTTGTTTGCATCTTGTAAAAAAGGGGCATAATAGGGGCCCTTTAAGTTTTAGAAAATGCACAATTCAATGCTGGATTTGCAGAAAAGATTGAAACTAAGATGAGGCAGCGACAACTATACTGGGCCTGCCTGTGATATTTCTCTATGCAAGGATGAGCAGTAAACTGCTTTCTCTGTTATAACAGATCAGTTGATATGCACTTTAAGTGTTTTATTCCTAAATCACCTCAGCATTCTGTGATAGTTCTCTGATATTGTAGTTCTATTTCATCTGAAATATGTAGAATGTCAAATATACATGCAAAAATCAGCCTTTGAAGAACTTTGAAACCTAGATGTTTTAAATCATTTTAATTTGCAGAGCTATTAGGCTTTTACTTCTGAGTTTACAGTTTGTCAGACCTATATTTATGTATTTATTGATGAAAGCTGTCAAAACAGGACAGAAAAAAGCCAGGGTTCAACGCTAAGGATTTTTTCTACAGGCCCAATCGGACTAGTGGTTCAGATTTTTACTTGCCCTGCCAGTATATTCACTAGCCCCACCAAAAAAAAAGTTAATAGCTATTTCTTAGCCACTATTAAAAAAATGTTTCAAAATGTTTGTAAATATAGAATTTAAATATTTACAAAAATGTTAATAAATGTGTAACAGGCCCGGATTGGCTAATCGGGAGGACCGGGAGAATTCCCGGTGGGCCGGTCTATTTTTTGGCCGCGAGGGCTGGTGTCCCTAGCTGCTTGCACTCTCAGCAGTCACACGTTTTTCTTCTATTTATTTTTTTTGACAATAGCTTTACTCTTTTTAATCATTATTTTACCGTAGTGACGCTCTTTTTATTTATTTTCTCGCAGCCCCGTGAGAAAAATGCAGCCTGCAGGTTAACTAACGTTAATGATGATGATGTAATGCAACTATCGACCCCAAACAGCGGCACCTTAGTGAATATAAGAATTTGAATAAAATGAATAATACACCTGCGCAATGAAAATCAAATGATTCACTACATTAATAAATCTGACATAACTTGATCAGAAATCTAAAAATAGGAGAAAAAGATTGAGCCATCAAAAAAAGAAAGTAGTGCTGTGTCTTAAGGGTCGCAAGTCATTAGTTATTTTTTACTCTCACTGTAATAGTGCCAATGTGGTCCAGTGGTAGGCACATTGCATTTCAATGTCGCGGAACCGTAATCGAATCTCCCATGAAATTTTTTTAAATTTTTTCGATTTTATTGTTAAGACATAAAATACTGTTAGGGCTGCTGAACATTTGAATTTCTAAAGCAGCAGTTTGCTTGAAAAAGACGTGATGGTGCCATTAGAAACTGAATTGGAATCAGTCGTGAACTGAGGTGGGCCGCTCTGGCTTGAAACTCCAGGGCTGAAAATGAGTCCCACTCCAGCCCTGATGTGTAATGAGCAAAATTCTAACTGTTTTGAAACAAAAGATGGCTAAAGATCTGCCAAACTGACGGCAAACTGTACAAAAGATCAATTAATTTTTTTTAGTCATGGTGTACCCTCATATATGTCTGCTTCCAAGATGTTAGAAACAAATGTTTTCCTTTGGCATCATCATTTGATGTTACCACCATGTTGCTGTCTCTTCGCTGTACTAATAACATGCTCGCAACATCCAATCAGATAAGAGGAACTGAGAAGGTAGCATTTGAAGGCTTGAAAATACAAACTGTTTCTCAATTCTAAAACTGTACTTGCACGCAATTGACAAATAGTCACAGGCAAATTAAACTTGAGTAACAAGGCAGCAGTGGCTCGATCGGGCCAGTAACGATCCTGTCTACTGTCCTGAGCATCTCACACGCTGTCCTTATTGTTGAGCCCTGAAAACAATGCAATGTATGAAAGTCTGATGGGTGACTATAAAACAACAAGTGATAATGCTGAAATTACAATATGAGAAATGTTGTTTCAGTTTTCCTAAGTGGAATCATTTGTTTGAAATAAGTTTGAAGTTATTCAAATTTGATGGTAGATCTATAATACCACATAATGTGCAGTACTAAGAAAGTTGTGATTTGGTTTTCATGGAACTGAGGGAAACAGCATGTTCTACATATGAAAAGTACAAAACACAATAGTGATTGTGTGCATCTTTTAGACACGTCAGATGAGGCCTCTTTATGTCTGCCGGGATTGGGTGTCTGTTTACATGTTATGTGAGAACTCTAAACTAACCTGCAGAAAAAAGGATATGATGGAAAACATGTATATATGTGCATATATATATATATATATATATATATATATATATATATATATATATATATATATATATATATATATATATATATATATATAAATAAACATGCACATACTCATGGGCCACTTTATTAGGTACGCCGCTCCGACTGCCCATTAACACCAATTTCTTATTAGCCAATAACATAGCAGCAACCCAATGCATTTAGTCATGTAGACATGATCAAGACGATCTGCTGCTGATCAAACTGAGCATCAGAATAGGGGAAGAAAGGGGATTTAGGTGACTTTAAATGTGGCATGGTTGTTAGTGCCAGATGGGTTGATCTGAGTATTTCAGAAACTGCTGATTTACTGGGATTTTCACGCACAACCATCTCTAAAGTTTACAGAGAATAGTCCAACAAAGAGAAAATATCCAGTGAGCGGCAGTTCTGTGAGTGCAAATGCCTTGTTGGATGATGCCAGAGGTCAAAGGAGAATGGCCAGATCACTCGCTACTAATGAGGTCTGCAGAAGAGCATCTCTGAACGCACAACATGTCCAACCTTGAGGCAGATGTGCTACAGCAGCAGAAGACCACACCGGGTGCCACTCCTATCAGTTAAGAACAGGAAACTGAGGCTACAATTCACACAGACTCACCAAAATTAGACAATAAAAGATTGGAAAAACGTTGCCTGGTCTGATGAGTCAAAGCGCGAATTATCTCAGACTGAATTCTTGAACATGACAAAGAATTTACTGTACTCATTGGCCTCCACAGTCACCAGAT